AGTTGAACATTGTTCAACTTTTGACGCCGATAGACGCTCGCGATGCTTGCAACGCCTTGCCATGCTACCCACAATGCAGTTCGGCGAAGTTTGAAAATATCCTACGTCACCCCATTCAAATGAATGGGCGAAGCGTTGAAAGCATTTTTTTACGCCTGTAGTGTAGACGGGCCGTCAGGGAGTAGAGTGTGTGTGAGGATAAACCTACAACCTGTACATGTAACCTGTGTCCGTGTGTGAACAAAGGAGTTAATAAACCCTCCATAACTTGAAGCCTGTTTCAGACTCCCTGTGTCGAACATTACATTGGTGTCAGAAGTGACTTTTTCGAACGAAGGACGTCTATCCTGACGGGAGCTTGTAACTGCGTCATGGAGTTAGCCGGTGAGCTAGCGGAGATGGATGAGTTTGACAGGATGGGAGTGAAGCAAGAAAATAGTGACGGGGAGGAGGATGGAGCATGCGGGTGGTCGAAGGACATGAGTAGGGAGTTCAAGAGTGCATGGGAGGCGATAGAGCGCCTGAGAGAGTCGGTGGTGAGGATGGCTAGAGACACGGGGATGACGCCTTCCTCAGCGGCGTTTCACGCCATTGACAAGCTGTATGTAAACAACAATGGCGGCGCCCAGCAACCAGTAGCAGTCGCCGCGTCCGTGAAAACACCCAAATACTCAGGTAGGTCAGACTGGGAGGCTTTCCATGCCCAATTTGAACTGCTAGCACATGCCGGGGGGTGGTCAATAGAGACTAAAGCGCTACAGTTAGCTTTGTGCCTCACAGACGGAGAGGGGTCTGCCTGCAGACCTCCACTCTCAGGACAGTTCCGGTGCAGACCTCCACTCTCAGAACAGGAAGTGCACGCTAAGAATTCCAAAATAAAATCACCACTATCAGTACAGTGCCACTTTCCAAACAGGAAATGCACACAAATACAAAATAAAATCGTACTGACACTTATTATCTATATATATATATATATATATATATATATATATATATATATATATTTATTTATATATATAAATACGACATCTTGTATTTTAGTTACACCCGCTAGACAACAGTGGAAGGTTCGAGAAACAACCGTGTTTGCCGGGTGCACCGCGGCGGAGGTGGGGAGGTTCCAGCTGGGAACCTCCACCCCGCTGCGGGACCCCTAGACGGTGCGTCTTGGTCACGCTTCATATCGGCCGGCCCGGGAAGGAAAAGACACGCAGAGTGGGGGAAGTCCCCCACCCCAACGCAGCACACCCTCCCGGCCATCAGAGTTGAACCCGCAGTTCGGAGGAACCGACCGCCAGAGCACCGGCACTAGGCCGGGCCGGCGCGGAGGCCCTCCGACAGTGGGTCGCGTTTGCCATTCGATTAGTGAGAGGAGAGGAGAAAAATGTATCAAAAATGGTCAAAATCCGTTAATATATGGATGAGTGGGGGGGGGGGGGGGGCTCAAAGTGCACGGTGGGGCACTCCATTGTGATTTGAAAACTTCCATCAAACGAGTCCTTCGGTGGGCGGGAAAAAAAACGTGTCAGAATCGTCACTTCCTGTACTGACAGTGGAGGTGTCCTGAGAGTGGAGGTCTGCACCGGAACTGTCCTGAGAGTGGAGGTCTGCAGGCAGGCTCCCATGCACAGACGAGGCTCTTTCTTGCCTGCTACTACTTAGCCCTGAGGACCGACACAGCTATGAAGCGTTAGCGGGGGCTTTGAGGAGGCGGTTTGGACAGTGTTTCCCGCCAGAGCTGCTCCGGAATGAATTAAGTAACCGCTGTAGGAAGTCTGGCTAACGACGTGGAAAGCCTGACGCGGCGGCACATGCACACATGCCACCCTGAGTGCAGAGTGAGCTGGCACGGGATCAATTAATCAGTTGCAGCGTCCACAGTCCTTGCAGGCGGCCTTGGAGATGGCTGTGGAGAGAGAGAATGTGTGGAGTGTAGCTGCTAGGAGCAGCGAAGGGCCGGTACCACCGGTTGTGAGGAGCTGCAGAGAGGAGGATAAGCCTGCATGGGTTGCTGAAATTATTGAATTGATAAGGGCTGTGACTCTGCAGCCAACACACAGACCAAGTAACAGGGTTTGCTGGGGGTGTGGTCAGCCAGGACATTTGGCCAGAGACTGCCCCAAGGCACACCATGCCCAGGGAAACGACGGGGCCCGCATAAAGGGGAAGATGCGGAGCCAGGCCCAAAAACTCCCCAACCAAACCACAGCCTTATTGCCACCAACACAGACATCCGAGGAAGGAGCCCAACAGCACAGCCGGGGGAGCCAGGCTCTACTCCTTCCTGAAGAAGATGACAGCACATGCTTGGAGCCTGTCGTCGCAGTGGGCCGTGCTGGTGGTGGGGATTCCTGTTAAGTCACTGTGGAAGGGGTGCCCTGCACTGCACTGGTGGACACAGGCTCGACAGTAACCCTGGTGAGAGCAGATGTGTTGCCCAGTGGGACTCATTTAGAACCGACAGCGGTGCGTCTATGCAGTGCACAGTCACAGGAGAGCTGGCACCTATGAGAGGAAAAGGCATGCTGACTGTGTCGGTGGGGGGAGTTGAAGTGCACCATCCGGTGTGGATAGCAGATGTACAGGACCCGTGTATTCTGGGCTTGGACTTTTTGAGGGCGTCTGGTTGCCACCTGGATCTTCAAGCAGGCACAGTCAGTTTCCACGGGGGGCCTGTGATCACTATGACCCGTATCCACACCCCTGCTGAACCTGCTGGGAGACCCCCTACACACCCCGTGAGTACCCTAGAAACTGAACCTAGAAACCGCCGCCCGTGTGCCGCCGGCGGATGCCACTACTATGAGAGGAGAGAGAGCAAGAGCTGGACGCAGACCTACAGCCTGTACTGCAGTGGGTCGAGGCGCAGCGGCGGCCACCGTGGGAGGAAGTGACAGTGTTCTCCAAAGCAACCAAGGGGCTGTGGTCTCAGTGTGAGGCTCTGCGTCTGTGTCAGGGCATACTATAGCGTGCATGGAAGGAGCCAGCAACGGGGGAGAAGAGATGGCAGGTGGTGGTCCCGAAGGGTCTGCAAGAGGCTGTACTCAAGGCCATGCATGGAATGGCAGGCTCTGGGCACTTTGGCGTCACTAAGACTCTCCGCCACCTTCGCCAGGGCTGCTACTGGGGGCAGTGCCGGAGGGATGTCGTAGACTTCTGTCGCCGCTGTGACCCTTGTATGGCTCGTAAGGGCCCCCCTGGTCGTTCCCATGCTCCGCTGCAACAGTTTCCCGTTGTCTACAGGGTGCAGTGGTCTCCCAAGGGGAGAAAAGTTGTGCTCCACAGAGACAGGTTGGCCCCGTACAGAGGAGTCGCTTCTCCACATGCCCAAGGGACACCGGGGTCCACAGCCTCCCCCTCGACACCCTCACTCAGGTCCCCAGGCGAGCCGAGCAGCAGCCCCCCGTCAGTGACTGAGTTCCCCCCCACTTTCTTTCCCTTTTCCCTGCCTGGACCAGAACTGGCACCCCCTGTCCCCAGCCCCCCTGCAGAGAAGGCAGACACGACCGCCGAGTCGGTTCAGAGACTTTGTATGGTAGTTTAGGTTAGTAGAGACTAGTGAGACCCCTCGGTTCCTGTAGAGGGCAATAATGTGCAGGGATGGTAGTCCACCCAGTCCTTCCTAGTTCAACTAACAATGTTTAGTTATAGTTTTTTTGTGCTAGGTTTTATTTGTTCCTTGTGGGCGAGGAACTTTGTAGTAGGGGGGTAGTGTAGCGACCCTGTATAGTGTGCTGAGTGTGTCACTCAAGCATACCCCGTCTCTCTGCCAATCACAGAGCTGCACAGTGATGCTGGTCGGGGTGCGGGCCTGTGGTTGGGGGAGCAGAGGGGGGAGGGCGGGGAAGTTGTGACGTTGATCCTGCTTTTATGTGTGGGAGTTAGGGAGTAGAGTGTGTGTGAGGATAAACCTACAACCTGTACATGTAACCTGTGTCCGTGTGTGAACAAAGGAGTTAATGAACCCTCCATAACTTGAAGCCTGTTTCCGACTCCCTGTGTCGAACGTTACAGTATTTACAAAGTGTGAAGAGGAGGCAACTTTAGAATAGGGAACATGTTCAGGTCAATTAGAGTCAAACTACTAGCTTATTGGTTATGAACAAGACTTCACTTTAAAATATGGAACATATTCTTAGATGGAAATACCTAATTTTGAGTTATTTAAACACAATTAACACTTATAGTTTCATGTCTTGTTACATAAGAAGAGATCATATTTGTTAAGTGTTATTATGGGAGAATAACTATTCTTGTGGTACTACTGCCTTATTAGGCCCATATTGAGCAGAGCATATTAAGACCAAAACTCATGTACAACAACTTCCTTACTTGCAATAAATAAGCACTGTGGCAGCGGGGTGTGGTTAGGGCGCCGGCTGCTGGAGTGAAGGGAGTGGCTCGGCCGGAGGCCAGACAGCTGATCGGAATCAGGTAATCAGTGACTGAATAAAAGCATGTCGTAACCTGGTTCTGGTCTGTCTTGCAGTAGGCGGGATCCTGGAAGGTCGCCAAAGGACCTGTGAAGGTTCCCACACAGGCAACGTTTTGAGACCCGTGTATACTTTGTTTTGGTGCTAATAAACGCCTGTGATCAACCTAAACCCTGCTCTTTCCATCCCTCTTTGAACCCTGTGTGAGCGGAGAGGCTCACAAGCACTAATTAGAGTGTTATTGAGGAAAAACTCTCAACTAATGGCTTATTACTTGTAGAATATGGTCATGTAGAATAAGGCATTAATAAGTGTTTTATAATGACTAATAAAGAGCCAATATACTGCTAATATGCATGCTAATTAACAACTAGTTGATGGTTAATTTGTGTACCTTAATATAAAATGTTACCTATTCTTTTAAATGTACATAAGCCCATTCAAGCGCTACATTCTGAATCCGTTTGTCACCCTGCCCCTTTTCTCAGCGTGCATCATGCTCCCCTCCTCTCCGACAAACAGACCACCCAACGCTCAGCAAGTGATGGGTTTAATAATACTCACATAAACTACATTGACGTAGTCGTCATCAGACAGGGTCTCTAGCATCTCACTGACGGAGGTCCTGATCAGTTTGAGAGTCAAGCCAGACACACTCCCGCTCCTGTAACAACAACACAGGATATCTAGCAGCTTCTCACTGCAATCTGTCTGCTCAGTTCTTGTAAGATGAGAATTGACTCAATATAATTAGAAATGCTTCTGTCTTGGGAAATGCATAACATTATATTACAAATCGAAGAAGGCATGTGTTACAATCAGGGGAAATCTTGACTGATGTGAGAAGGTTATGGATCAATTAGGTTTGAAAGTAACTCACGCATCCACAAGGATTAGCATATCTTTGGGGGAGGCAGCTCCTTGAATGTACCTAGATGAACATGAATGAATGAAAGACAAGCTGGTCTGAGACACACACACTCTGAGCAGTTTAAGGTTACACTTAATCACAAAAATCTCTCAACCCAATTCTAATTATTTTAAACCAAATTTTACATTTATGATTTGAATGAAACAACATAATTTGGTCAAAAAAGTACACAATTATGACTTTGATATGTCACAATGCAATTGCACTGTATGTTAATAATAATTCAATAATAATTTCTCAGACCTAGCCCAAAAACTTAAAGGAACATATATTTAAAGAACAACCAATCAATTAACTACAATAAAGTAACTATCATATATAATATAACCCTAAACCCATAAGACTGTACATATTAGGCTTGAATTGGCACCGACAGTAAATAGATGTTTCTTACCATGGTCTCCTGCGGACGTCATACAGGTCAATCTTACTGGGGGTCTTGCGGGCATCCATCCAGGGAGAGGCTTTGAGAGGACATAATGTATTTGTTGATTAAAACTTTTCATTATTAAAGGGAATAAAACACAAATTCCAATTTCTGACACTGACTGGAATGTTGATCTTCAAATATCTGGCAGTATGCAGTGTTATATTAAGTCTAGCCATATCTAATCACTGGCAATCATTTTTGGAAGATATAAAAAAGGTTAGAATTCTGCCAAAGGAAAAGTTTGCTTGTTGGCTGGACTCATGCATTTTAAACACTTCACATCTACATGTTTTCACGAAGAGAGAAACAGCAAGGAAATTAAACAACATTTGTATCTGATAAGTGAAGCTCAAGTCACTGCTATAAGTGAAGAGCACCAAACAACAAGTAAGCGCTTGTCTGAATGCCTGTTGTATCATGCATGCTAAAAGGTAAGAAAAGGAACAAAGAGGAATTAATTCAGGGCCAATGAAAATGCATGAATATTAGACATAAACTTTTCCCATAAAGCTATATAGTGTCCATGATGACAGGGAATCTCATGAATAGAAATAGCTTGGCAAAGAAAAAACTCACGATAGCGTGCAGCACTAGACTAATGTAGTTTAAGATAGTTTGACATTATGTATAGAACCACATACAAAATCAATGCTAGTAGTGCAATAGAGATCATTTATTGAGCTTATTTGCTCAGTGATGTGTGAACAAGGCCACTTTGATACATATTCCCTTGCTGTTTGTTGTTATGATTAACAGCCAGATGCACGTGAGGTCAAGCTAATTATTATGGCTCATAAGTGCACCTCTGATTTGGTATGGTAGGAAACTCAAACAGCTTCAGTGTCATATAAACACATACACAAACAATTAAGGAGGCCAAATAACCGATCATGTTTCTTCTCTCTGCTAAATGTCAAAGAAAGATTGTTTTTTTGCCTTTTTTGCTTTTTACCTGGGTAGTAGCGAGCCAGGCCAGTAGCGCTGCCGTACACCTGCCAGAGGAGGGTCGGGTCATCCTCTCGGTTTTTTCTGAACACGTCCTCCAATGCGTCCGACCAGTTCAGCTCATTCAGCACGATGGTGGCTGGAAATCCACACACAAACACATACTTTTCAATGCACAAGATAAACAGGAAACACTTGTGAAGATTGTGAAGAAGATTGTGTTCATAAAAACTGGGGCTACAGTTTACACCCTTGGCAATTTTTTAACTGTGAAATACTCTTATAATACTCTCAGAATGATCACTGCATTACACCATACATTTTGAGCAATAACCCGTTTTTGAGCATTAATATAATTATTAGTAATAAGTCACTGCCGTATATTTTTACAGTTATTGTTGTTATCTATTGTGGTGCAATGTACACATTTTGACTTTAACTCCTCTATGTTTTTATGTTCAATTTTGTATCCAATTTCAACCTCAGGATAAATAAGTTAATATAAATCTAATCTGATTCTGATTCATGCCTTGATGTGTATTCCACAATAACGATCAAAGGACAGAGCATGGCTGAAGAGAAGGACATTGTGGACTGTCCGAGACACGTGGACATCGCGGATCAACACATTCATTGAGATTCAGCCGCACAGTGCCCACCCACTCACCCAGCGGGACGCATGATCAAATATTAGGACAGCACACCCAGCATGCACCAGTATTTAGCAACAGATACTGAGGAGTGGTTTTCTGGCGTTGCGATGATTTAAAAAAAATCTTATTTAACATGCCTATGTGTGGTTGTATGTGTGCATGCGTGTGATTGATGGTGTGTGCTGTGAGAGGCAACAGGCATTATGGATGTAATGACACAGCAGCCAGACAGCTCAGAGCCACATAACACTCACTATGATGGATGGAGACACAGCACATGCTGCCCCAACTCCATCTTTGCTCTGTCTGTCTATATACAGCTATATTTTCCCTCTTTTCATTTCTTCCATTCTCTTTCTTTATATTAATGTAGCACTGTATAGAAGCTTTGAAATGTGTCTCTGTACATCCAGATGTGAATGCCTCTGTGTATGTAAAAGCGTGTGAGATAGATTGGTATCCTGTATTGGGTGTGACGTGGCTCATTGATGTGCAAACACTGTTCATTAGCATGCATCTCTCAAGAGGGGAGAGTTAATGAAGCCTCAGTTGCCAGGAGTGCATGTTTTTTATTATAGAAAGAGAGAGAGAGAAAGAGAGAGAGCATGTTGTGTGTGTGATCAGTAATGTATTTCCCTCATTAAGGGTATCCTTTTAAAGGAAAAAGAAGGAGAAAATAACACGACATCCCTTCTAGATGATGAGAAAATTACTAACTGTATGTGTGAATTTTGAGTGAAGACTGATGAAGACAGACAGGTAGGTGTACAGCAATCGTCACAAAGACCTATTCAAAGCTGTTAAGCTAAATTGTTGGGTGGTCAGATACACATTTATACATACACAAACAGAGTCAAAAAGGCTAACCCAGTGGTCATATGTTGCTTTTTAGTGTTTCCAGTGGTTTTGAGTAATAATAATAATAATAATAAAAATAATAAAGCTTTATTTATATAGCACTTTTCATACAACAGAGTAGTCCTGAGTCAGTCGTAATATTTACTAAGCTAAATTCCTGCTGCTTTAAAAAGAGATAGAGTATACTCTAGTCGCCCATATTGCCTCTGACACTAATGAATTCCCTGGCTGCACTCGGCGTGGCTTTGATGCCACACTGAATCTACACCCTATGATAAATTAATCTCTGTGGGATATAAGGGCTGCAATATAATTCAGTTACATACCATGGATTAGTTTATAATGAACAATAAAGGACTACATTATGTTTCACTGCTTTAGATAAGGAAGTCAATCCCCATATTCTCACTTACTGTAATGTGCTAAAAGGATAGAAAAGAATGCTAAATCCACCAACTCATTATGATATACTGTAGTGATGTGTTTCATCCTGTTGTGACAGTGATTTCAACAGCTCCTAAAAGATCATCAAAATGTCCTAAAGGTTCAAAGCAATAGTTAGGCTTCTTCAAAAGATACTTGTATTGATTTTCTGTTGATAATTTGATGAAAAGCAAGATTATTTACCATGACATCACCAGTTGGTTTTAGACTACTGTTTTTAAGCCTTACATTTTGCATTTTCGCTGCTGCCATCTTATTATTTGGGACTAGAAGTCACAAGTTAACTTTTATGCAACCAATATATAGCTTTTAACTTTTATGAACTGAATACATATTGTGAAAGTGTTAAAATTGGAACGCTAAAGGAAAAGATCAAGACCAGACAACGCAACCTGTCAACCATAAGGAAGCCATGGCCTAAAACATACCCTGCTTTATCCTCTAAATTCAATCCAGATTGGAACATCATTTACAAAATTAAAATCACGTTTTATTGAAGATGTGGAACTAGCACATTTATATACAAAGAATTGCAGGTTTAATGCTCTTCAGTATTTGCTTGACTCTAAAAGACATGGACAGTTTGCCTGGACCAAATGTAACAAAACCACCTGACTTACTGTAACTTAATAAATTCACAATCAAAATGTTCTTCTTTATCTAACGCCTACAAACAATGAAGAGGTGAGCTAAGTGCCATGAGAAAGATCACAATGGACAACCAAATAGGGGTGGAGAATGGCAGGGTGATGCTCCGGGCAGGGCACACGTAGAAGGCAAGCCTTGGCCAGAGACTGAAGGTGTACCACTAAATAACAGGGAATGCTCTTCCTGAATAACATAATATATTGGCTTGAATAAACTTATACTATATGTTGTCTGTTAATTTATGGCAAACTGGGGTCGTCCTTTATTACAGGAGTAAACATGAATGTCATTATTCATTAAATACTCTTATTATTTGTCAATCTCATTATGTCTGTCTCACTTTCTCTGTTGTGACTCTGAGTGTTGCTGTCTTTCTTTTTGGTTGGTTTATTCTGTTAGTCTCGGAAGATAGTGTTTTTTTACCTAGCCTTGGGGTGACAAAATGCATGAATATATTTTCAGCTTCTGTTTCCAAAAGCAATACACTGAATTCAACCATTTTCTTTTTTTCTTTGCCACACATATGCCCATGTCCTTCACAGGCCAACAGATGTGACCTTTCTGTCATCTGAACATCTGCTTCTTATTGTACACTTGTTTCACACACGTGACATGCTGATGCCTATAGAAGATGATTTCATAAACTTGCCTCCCACTTTACCCGGAAAATTCAATTTTCTCCAGCTGAGTAAAGGCTATTCCTGGAACATTTATAGGGTGAAGATCAAATCTTTTTTTGTCCAGGCATAAAAACAAACACCTCATGTGTGCGAATATCTGACACAATATACGAGAGGTCACACTTGAAAGACACACATATTTTCTTGCTATTCCTGCGGGGACTCTTCTTTGTTTACAAAATATATATATATATTGAACCATTCTAAAAAAGTGTGTTTTATCTCACTGAGATCAGACTTCAGTCTTGTATAGGTCCCAGCAGCTATGTTTACTTATTACAGGCTACCAATAAACACAACCCTTAACTAAAAAAGCAGTGTGAGGAGTCATGGCACCAAGCCCAGATTATGGCCAGAGAGGTATCCCTGGGAACAAATCACAAAGTCAGAAACAATTTCAACGGCATGCTAATAAAGCAGGCTTGCATTTTACAGATAAAATACAAAGACAAAAGTGTGTGCCCATCTCATGCCTCATTGCTGACCCTGTGTTTGGGGTTAAGAGAACAGGCAAAGTGGTTAACCTTGGGGCCAGACAGTTCCCCAGCAGGCTGAGGGGCATGCTGAGGAAGTCACTCTATTCTGCTGTCCCTCCAAGTCACTGCTGACGCACAACATCCCACTGTAATAATTACTGAATATCTAAACATACCCACAAAGAAACTCAGTTTCATACAACCACATATACAAATACACAAGCACAAGCTAAGCAGGCTGGTGTTAGGAGGAAGTATTCGGTGATTGGACTGTTAAAGTAATCATGAACCATGTCTCCTGGTGAAGTATCCCTGAGCAAGGCACCGTGCACTTTACTGCTCATTGTAAAGGGCTATTAACACCAAGAACTTTAAAGACTACTATAAATAGATAATTTAAAGAAATTGTCCTACTCAAGTGCATGCCAGAGTCCAGACCCTATAATGACAGGCAGTGGCAGGGATATTGTTGGGATCACTTTCAGAGCGGGTTTATTTACAATAAAAACACTGACAGCCAATCAAAATCCAATCGAATATGAAGGTGTACTGTATGTGTTCAAGACAGGAGGCTGCAATAAAGTGTAGTCTACTTATTGTAATATACTGCCTCTCTTTTCACCACACTCCTTCCCCATGGCTATGCTGCACAGCAGTAGCTATACTCTCAACTGTTTTGTTTGTCTTTTAATCATAACCTTATTTTAATTTCTTTCTTTACGCAATGTACAGCAGTAACAGGTCATCAACATCCTTTTTGGGGCCCCAACACAGCTGGAGTGCGCAGCGTGGGCTCGGCGCCAGTGTTTACAGCAGTCATCAACAGTGTGGATGCTCACATTGTTATATTTATAGTTATGGTTTTAGTTATTGTTCTTAGTGTGGATCGCTCTTAAGTCCCACTTGATAAAAAAAGAAAGCAGTTCAATTATAATATGCCTATAATTCAGGCAACAGTTAAGATATTCAAAAGAACATCCTTAAGTCATTAACATTCAACTTGAGCTGTGCTAATGTCACAGGCACTCTAGAGAATCAAATTATTCTGAACCACTCAAGGTAAATGTCACCACATGATGATGAAATGACCAGAAATGTCTCTTTTTTAACACAGTAAATTAAATGGATGCACGTAAGTTTTGTAATAACCTTAATTTGTTTTCAAAAAGACATTAACTAAAATGCCATACAAGTCCAGAACTACTGACAACCTGATGCATTCAAAGGGCCATCAAGCAGGTTCTGTTCTGGCACTACAGTGAAATGGTCCTCTCTTGGTTGTAAAATGCTTATCCTGCACACATGCTATTATTATTCAGTGTAGGTAAAATAATTATGATTAAAACATCAGACGTGATGTTTTGCCCAGAACTTTTAAATGACAAGTTGATAGCTGTTTTCCAATGTTCCTACGACATATAAATGCAACACACACTTTTAACAAAAGTAAAACATAATATGTATTGGATTATTTCTTGGTATATAATACTCCCTTCCACAAAATGTAATGGAAATCGAGCCAGTACAGTATCAAATCATGCACATACAAGTGGACAAGCAGACAAACTGAGCCGAAAACATAAGCACCTTGTCAATACAGTATTGTATTAAAATGTATGAATAGTTCACCTTTAGTGGGACCACTGGCTTGAATTTAAATCAATCCAACTTTTACGTACACTTATTACTTACTTAAATAATTAATTTAAGCCTCAGGACATATTAAAAGAAGGAATCAAAAGACTCATTATCAAAAGCTTGATGGGTTTGCTCAGGACAAAGGCCAAAAAACATCAATTCATTTCATTTCGAGGACCCTCCATTCATTTACTTCCCAAGGACACACAGCTTATAGCTAAGAGAAAATGGGGCTCAGGAGAAGATGCTATTATGCTGTATCGCTTTTTTTTTAAAATCATCATTTGACCATGGGCAAAATTGCTAGAGGAGCAATCTGTAAACAACATCTCATAATGGGCTGGTGTGTCACTTGTATCCATGGTTACCACTTGGTTGTGTGTGTGTGTGTGTGTGTGTGTGTGTGTGTGTGTGTGTGTGTGTGTGTGTGTGTGTGTGTGTGTGTGTGTGTGTGTGTGTGTGTGTGTGTGTGTGTGTGTGTGTGGTGTGTGTGTGTGTGTGTGTGTGTGTGTGTGTGTGTGTGTGTGTGTGTCTACTCACAGCCATCATAAATGTCAGTGGGGATGTGGACAGCCGTGTGGTTGTAATCAGTCAAACGTTTAAATGACAGGTCCTCTTTAAAGTCTGGTCGAATCCTGAATTTCCTTCCCTCCGTCTCATTTACATCCAGCTGAGGGGAAAAAGGAAAATCAAGATGCAGACAGTAATGCTTTTTGTGTGTTGAAGATATCATTCAAAGCCTTTATTTTGTTTGCTTCATTGCATGCATGACACAGTTTGCGGGTTTATTTAAAAGCACAGGACTGATTCTACATCCTGCTGTCTGAAGAGATAATGTCATCGCTGCACTTTTCACACCCTCCCAGCTCGGTTAAGAAAATACTGTGTATGTAGCATCATCGTATTCTTGATGATATCTTGCTATTTCGCCTTCTTATCATCTTTACTTTGGAGCAGTAGCAAGAGACAGCCAGATTGCCGATGCCCCTTGTGGAGATTTATAACTCATAGTGTGCATTCACCAATTTACATCAATGAGTGCAGTACAGACGGGGAGATATATGAAGAAAAGCATGATGAGATATGGAGGAAGGAATGCAGAGTAGAGAGGGAATGAGATGGTGAGGTGGAGAGGGAGAGAAAAATGCAAGAGGGGGGAGGGAGAGAGAGAGTGTGAACCGTTGCTTCCTAATAAAGCAACAGTGTAGCCGGCTCATACATCTCATCTGTCAATTAGAGGAGAAACATGGCAGAAAACCTCTTCACCTGAGAGAGGGTGGGAGGAGGGATGAGGGAGGGAAAGCTACACAGGAAGAAAAGCCTGGAGAAGAGGCAAGGATAAAGGAATAACATATGAAAGTGGTGAACAGGGAAAGGAAACAGAGGAGAGGAGTGAAGATGAGGAGTTGAAAGGGAGGACAAGAGACAGACGGAGCTATGTAGTAAAACCATATTACCGTTCTGTGTCTGAGTGTGACCTGTGTGTTTGCAGGGGCTAAAATGGAAGGGGAGAGCAAAAAGGCAGAAGGAAGCACACTCACATTGTCCTTTGCGTTGTAGTAGGAGATTTCATCGCCCTGTAAACAAGTCACACGGAAGCCCAAATATCACTTTGTGGCTGTTTTAGGGTGTTGCACAAAGAAGGGCAACATGTATGCATCATGAAGTGCTTAATACATTTATAAACAGCTCTTTATTTGTTTGCAGTCAACTCCATTAGTGAATTCTCCAGCTTTATGTTAATGAAGACACTAGTCTGTGCCTCCGATCAAATGAATACTGCATGAGTTAAGCTGAGTGTGCAAAGTATCCTCTTTTTACATCTGTGTCTGTGTGCCCACAGCCATTTGCAATGCTCCATGGAAACATTTTCCTTGCAATTGAGAAAGCAATATGGTCATTCACAGCTCAGACACATCTTTAACTGTCTGTGTGACAAGTCATTTTCCTGACCACCGCTGTTAGGGAAATAATTGTCCTAGACTCCTAGATATGACGTACATGACCAACCCTGACGTCTGTTATCTCCTTTAAGGAGATAGGCTGCTTCAGCCATAATGTTATTGTTCCCATTCTGTGACCGGGCAACCCTAGGTCACAGATGGTCTATTGTTGTGGGTGCACTGGGACACTTCCTTCTTTGTTGTTTGTGGACTCCAAGGTATGAAATCTTCGAGGCCATAAGTGACGGACGCAAGTAACTCAGTGTGCCCAACTGTCTAAGCTATCTTATCAAAATATGTTGATTACTCTCTGTGAAACCAGTTAAATGGGCTAACGAGAGAGAGGCGCGCCAGAATTGACGTGGCAACTCTCCCGTGCAGTCAGATCGTGGCTGCTGTGACTTGTGATGTGAATTCTCCGGCTGAAGCTCCAAATAAACCATCAGTGTTTGACATCAAAGCTCCTGCTCTTCCTGTGTCTCTTTCCTGAGTCGGTGACTCCCACTGCATTGCTACACAGAAGTGTCCCTTACAAATTGGCGTTGTCGGCAGGATACCAACAAATCTTCAGAACTGGTAAGTGTAATTTCAAATCTACATTTGGACATTGCCTTACCAGAATCTGTGATTGACGGTATCCTAAAATTACCTGTGAAACTGAGCGGCTGTGTTTCGTTTTTGCTTAATGAACATTTGGGGATAATAAACCCAGGGGATCAGTGTCTGGGGACTCAATCCTGGCTGATTTCCTCTGTGTAGCTGCTCGGGACGAAAGTGCCATACAAGCATACACAGCTCATGTTTAGAGAGACCTTAAAGAAAGGCATCAGTGAAGTGGAGCTTCTGTGTGAAAGCAATGTAAAGATTTGTATTGGACAAATCGCCGAATTCTGGGGGTTTCAGCGGCCAACACAGCAGTTGAAAATAAGCAGCCGGAGATATTACTGCTATCGCCTCTCTGTAAAACACGGTTCCAGCTGCAGCCGCGGGTGTGTGTGTAAAACCTCCCCGTGTTTGTGGGGCTGGAGAAGTGCAGCTGAGAGGGAGAAAGTCACAGCCTTTTGTCTATAGCTTTAACTCACACCACCGCCGTCTCTATTAAAAACGAGATGGTCTAAAAGCACTCGTTGTTTGTGACCGTTTTCTCATGGTAAGACGGGCCAGCGCGAGGTGCGTGCATCACCCGATGCGCCACAGTTCCCTACACATTGAGGAGCAGGTGGAGGTCAGGGGTGCATACATACAATTATAGGCTAATTGATCACGGGTGGGTAGTGGCAAGCAAGTGTAGAACAAAACTGTGTTTCATCGTTGTGATGAACTCGATAGCAAGTGTATAGGCTGGTCGTGTCGGACTACAGTCAACTGGGCTGTTGTTGGAGAGAAAGGGAAGAGGGAAAAGTCTGTGGGCTCCGATCGGGGGGGGGCACAGCGCCACTAGAAATTAGTGGCGCAAGAGGTGTCGCAAGAGGATAAGCTAGTTATCGCTCGTGGACGGCTTTCAGGCACCGATCTAGGACTTGTATACAAGGGTGGACGTGCGAGTCAAGGCGCCCCATCTACAATTCCCCACCCCTTCTGAAACCTCTTAATTCGGACTAAATTGAGCTGGATGAGCTTTGCTGTCACGCTGGTGTTTATTACGAGTTCATGTTTGTTTGTCTGATTGTTTGTATGGGGGTCTATATTGGTTTGTCTACCCGCCGTCTTGTGTATGTTTTGTAACAACTAATAATGAATCAGTCCATAGACAGGGTAAAATGAACTAAACTTTAGTTATCTCACCAAAAGTAAATGACTTGAGAAAAATAAATAATATAAAGATGTAAAGCAAAATTCTGGTAGTATAAATGTGCTGCAAAATGAAAATAAATAGCAAAAGAGTGTAAGAAAAGAAGATTATATTGCTTTAAGAATCCATTCTTAAATGGTATTGCTGGTATGTTAAGATATCTTTGTGACCTTGTATAAACCCTATGCCCCGTCCTGCGCCCGAGACCCTCAGAGGCATCACTGCTGGTCGTAAAGACCTGCCTGAGGAGATCAGGGTGCAAAATCTGTTTTTTTAGGTCAATGTTGTATTATTTGTTTAATTTATTCTTAAAATCTATGGTAATAATGAATAAAAACGTAATGTATTGAACACATTCCGAAACAAAGCAGATAAGACAGAACTAGCTAGCTAACTAACTAGCTGCAAAATGGAAACTTTGTTGATTATCTGTTCCAACTGGCCACTGGAATCAGATAATTAATATAAGTTGAAGTTCAATTACAGTTTTAAAAATAGTTTAACATTCTTTATTAAACTGCTTCAAATTATTTCTCGTATCAACCAATTGGTCAATAGACATTACTAAAATTAAAATAGTTGTTAAACTACTGACAAGTTTTCTGAAACCGAGCTTATGAACAACAGAGTAAAGGTCGCTGGTTAAGCCAGGATCAATATATTTGTTGACGTTTTTATTGTGTGCATAATAAATGTGTTAAATTAATTGAGCAATTCTTTAAAAAGTATAATGTTGCAATCTCTTTAAAATAAGTAATTACAGTTAAAACATAGATGCTGTTTTCCAAGGGCCTCTCTTTCACAGGCCCACACTTTGAATCATGACACTTCCAAGTCCTACAGAGATCAGTATCACTTTTGTGTTGCAAGCCAAATCCAGGGGTTCTACTCGAGCCTAATTTTAAATACCATAAAGAAAGGTATTGAACCCAGCTCGAGCTAAATGTCAAATGTATTTAATTAATGTGTAAGTGTTTTGATTTATTTAAAATGTTCCAGTCTAGCTTCCTTCGAGTTTAGTCTAAGCAACATATTGGTTCTCATAACATTCTCACTGCTGTCCCAAATGTTTTAAACCTTGGGTAGACAAGCACACAAGCACACACACACACACACACACACACACACACACACACACACACACACACACACACACACACACACACACACACACACACGCACACACACACACACACACACCCACACACACACACACACACACACACACACACACACACACACACACACACACACACTTTGGATAAGTATTCACCTTATCCAAATTGTAAATTGTTGCCTTCTTTAAAGTTATTAGTAATTCAAGATTAATTATTAAATTAAATGTGGTACATAACATAGAATAAATAAATTAACTTTGACTTGATCATTTTGTTCACAATATTAGACCTTGTCCTCTAATCTCTACTAGAATAAGATACGTGTGCATGTTTGGGTGTTTTAACACTCCTGTAATGTACCTAATCTTGTTATCCTTTTCATTACAGAGCTGGGAAAATGGTGTATTGCTTAGATTCTGATCCGTGCAAAGTCCAATTTTGACTGACTTTAGTTCTAATGTTAATGTTAATTTGATTTCAACCCATAAGTAATTATTTAGATTAACTCAACATTTCACATGATGGATTAGTGTTCCACATTTTTTTTTCCCACTCATTTGTTGTGCAATTAGGCCAATGGTAAAGAGAGACATTGATGACCTTGTGTCCCTTTTGTTGGTACGTGGTTCCATTTTGTCTATGGCCTTGGACGGCTTCACTAAGAGTCACCCAGTTCTACCCTGCTACAGTCCGGCTGAGTGCAGTCACAGAGATGCTATGGCTGCTCTACATGAAATTACATGAATGGTCTGGTCCGAGAATGGACACCATTTCCTGCTCCCAGAGAGAATGACGCTCCTCAAACTGAACATTACAGCCGTTGATACTGTCTCACGTGGGTCTGCTCCCCCCCACCGAGCCATGAACTGAAAGCTTGACATCTGCTTTGAACACTTGGAAGCCTCCCTGTCACACCAGCACCAACCCTTGGGTCAGTCAGATGGGACTAACGGCTTCACTTAGGGCATTTGGTTCAGATACATGACTCTCGTTGCCGCAGAGTGGGTTGTTTTTTTTAAGGCTATTCATACTGCTATACAGAGGATGCATGTAAGTTGGCAAGCTGTTAAAAGCCCCTACTATTTTTAAAATAGGCCTAATGTCAGGGGCCTCTTAGTTCTACATGTATTCACATTATATAGACAATGTGTCCACCTGGTAAAAAACTAGAGGCTGCACGAAACTCAGGCTACAATACAACCATTATGTTCTGCTCTAACGATTCAATTGATAGATTCTACGTCAAAACAATTAGCTTTTATTGTTTCCAATGATAACGTCACCTTAAGTGGAGGAATGCAAACCTGATTTCAAATGTAAGGTTTTGAATTTGTTTGACATTTCTCAGTAATAACACCCTCAGACACCCAATATCATTCATGCTATGCCATCAGTAATAACTCAGATGTTAAGGGGGATGAAGCTTTTCCTCCCAAATCAGATATGCTTTGTTTTTCAACAAAGGTATACATTTCCTGCATAATATATGTTTCTCACAATTGTTTTTTTTTGCAAGCTGCACACAGGTGATACTGAGTCTTCTCGAGTAATAGATTATAAACTACACCATGCTTAAATAGACTCCTAAGTTATTATTTAATATGTGACATATGTAAGAAAAGGGAGGGAAGAGTCAATTATATTGTGTAATTGATTTTATATTGGAACATTTATTTCTCAAACCTGTTTTATGGAAGAGAAAAAAGAAAATATTTCTGATAAACTAATATTTTATCAAATGGTAAATGGTGAATTAATATAACATTTAGAATCATTGAGAAGGGGTTATATCCACAGGGACTAGCTCACCTTTAAAAAAGGAAAACATCCCTATCAAGTGTTAACCCAATAACTAGGACAGCTCTGAAGGCCAAGGGTCAGAGAGAGAGGGTCACACTCTCCGGCTGCAGAGGGCACCCCCAGCCACGGGCAAGGAGGCACGAGGTCGTTCGAGATGAGAGGATTCTAATCTTCAACTTTCTGATGAGATGGGATGCTTCTTCATCTTTCTGCTCGGTGGGCTCAAGCAGACGACCCTGCAGGACGAGCGAGGGCTTCAGAGGCTTCATACAAGGTTCCTTGTTTCTTGGAGGAGTTTGATGTCTTCCTAACCTCTCCCATCACGGGGGGGACACCTGGATGCGCCACTTGGAATACGCAGTTGCACTGCTCTCAAGCAGATAGCAGAAGGAATGCAGGCCTCCATTTCACTGGGGGATCAACTACAGTGCTCACTGAATGAGCCACACAAAAGCAGAGCAATTGGGGGGTTGAAATATGGCGCTCTGATGAACAAGAGTTTGAGCCAATCAGCACCTCAGTGCTAATCTACAGTATCAGGATGCCTTTACACACCAGACACTCGTTGTCATAAAGAGAGGAGGAGAACGAGTCAGAAAGACTGAAGGACATGTTCTTCCAGCTCTCGTACAAAGATGAACTTTGAATTGATTTTATATCTTGGATGTTTACAGATGTACAATTAATGACTGTTTTTATATTTCCAATGACCAGACATGTGTTGAATAGTGGTGATTAATATATTTTTGCCGGATCAGATTACACTTTCGCACTAAACAAAATTAATTAATTAATATTTTCAGATTATAAAGTATTGAATAATAAGATATTTCTACTATGATCACAGATATCCTTAATCGTCCAGCAATCAGGCTTAACAACACTACTCTTTAATGTATTATCCATGCATAGAAAGACCTACAATGATGTTTCAAGTACTGGATTAATTTCAGTTTTGGCCCAAAACAAATATTTATAATGTTTCATATAACAATTATGTAGCATATTTGATCCTCAAATTAGAGAAATATAATTTAAAGAAATTAATATTCTATATTCAACATTAGATAAACACAGAATAATCCTTTCCAAGTACCATAAGTAGATGCTCAGGTAAGTATGGCTAATAGGAATAATTGATAGACTTAATTTGGTACAGATCAGTGGTAGCATTTACAAATGTAATAATTCAAGTTTTAAGAATGTTTAATCCTTCCTTTCCAGGTTTTTACAAAAGTCTTTGAATATTTGCCAAACTTTTCCTTTTCAGATTTTTAACAATGTACTTGACTAAAATGAATGTATTGATTTGACTAAGTGCCTTACTCTTGACTAAAGCGTATTTAAGTAAACGTAAAAGTAATCCTAAAATTGAGGACACTACACTTTTGCAGATTACAGATTGATAAAATCACAACTGTGAATTGTATACCTTAGCTGGATCTCTTAGGATCCTAAGTTTTAAAATGCTTTTGACTAGTGATTGCCTTGAAGTAAATCTTTAAAGCGGCAAGCTGGTTTTGATTTTATAGTTTGATAAGTGAAATTGACTAATGGTAAATGATAAAGGATATTAGTTTTAAACAAATATTTAGCTATTTATGCATTTGTGTTTTATGTGTGTTCATTATTGTGCTTTTGACGAAAGATGATCAAACACTGATGAGAGATGATTTTTCCTATTATGATTGGCTGTATCAATCATTGTGATTGAATGTTTCAATCTTATTCTACTTTGTGATGTAATTAATGTAAGGTGAGACCACACTCAAATCTAGAGACGCCTATTGATTTAATTATTGACCAAATTATTATTAGACTAATGTTTAACTTTTTAGGTTATCATAAATGATAAAAAGAGAGGACTGTTAGGGAAATAATTGTCCTAGACTCCTAGATATGACGTACATGACCAATCCTGACATCTGTTATCTCCTTTAAGGAGATAGGCTGCTTCAGCCATAATATTATTGTTCCCATTCTGTGACCGGGCAACCCTAGGTCACAGATGGTCTATTGTTGTGGGTGCACTGGGACACTTCCTTCTTTGTTGTTTGTGGACTCCAAGGTATGAAATCTTCGAGGCCATAAGTGACGGACGCAAGTAACTCAGTGTGCCCAACTGTCTAAGCTATCTTATCAAAATATGTTGATTACTCTCTGTGAAACCAGTTAAATGGGCTAACGAGAGAGAGGCGCGCCAGAATTGACGTGGCAACTCTCCCGTGCAGTCAGATCGTGGCTGCTGTGACTTGTGATGTGAGTTCTCCGGCCGAAGCTCCAAATAAACCATCAGTGTTTGACATCAAAGCTCCTTCTCTTCCTGTGTCTCTTTCCTGAGTCGGTGACTCCCACTGCATTGCTGCTACACAGAAGTGTCCCTTACAACCGCTTTCCTCTGCGTTATGTTTGTGTGCCACTGTGATTCTTAGAAAGCACAGTGTCTGCCACACAGTGTATAAAATGCAATAAACACATTTAGTAATGACGCTGTAATAACTGCTAATGACACGGACATAAACAGATTGAATCTATTATGCAGGTTCTGGTCCAGGCTCTCGTCATCTCACGCCTAGACTACTGCAACTCCCTCCTGGCTGGTCTACCTGCATGTGCCATCCGACCTCTGCAGCTCACCCAGAATGCAGCGGCTCGTCTGGTCTTCAACCTTCCTAAATGTTCCCACACCACTCCGCTCCTCCGCTCCCTTCCCTGGCTTCCGGTAACTGCTAGAATCCACTTCAAGACACTGGTACTTGCTTACCATGCTGCGAATGGATCTGGCCCTTCGTACATCCAGGACATGGTTAAACCGTACACCCCAGCGCGTGCACTACGCTCTGCATCAGCCAAACGACTCGCTGCACCCTCGCTGCGAGGGGGACCCAAGTTCCCATCAGCAAAAACACGTGGGTTTGCTATCCTGGCTCCAAGATGGTGGAATGAGCTCCCCATTGACATCAGGACAGCAGATAGCTTGCACATCTGCCGGCGCAAACTGAAAACGCATCTCTTTCGACTCCACTTCGAGCGATAGAATTATTATTATTATTAACTTATATACTAATAAAGGACTGGCTTATCTAAAGCCAGTTGAGTAGCACTTGAAATGTTTGGCTCTATGAAACCTGATGTACTTATATGATTCTGTTTTCTTCAAGGTTGTGTCTTCCTGGTCGAATGTACTTATTGTAAGTCGCTTTGGATAAAAGCGTCAGCTAAATGCAATGTAATGTAATGTAATGTAATGTATGACTAGAATTTATGGCCAGTAAATCCGGATTTAGTGATTGGTAGTTACTGTGTTTGTGTTCATGTCTCTCCCTTTGTTTTACAAACATACAGTTCATAATGCACACGCATAAAACAAATACATAAGTAAAACATTTGCCTATGTAGATGTGTGTCTGTATTTTCATTTCCCTCCGTTACCTCAAATTCGTCCTTCCAGTCATGCTCCATCTGGAAGTTCTCAGCAGCTGTGGCCAGTTTCTGGGGAGTGAAATATGACAGGGATTTAGATTGGAAATCGCACAAGGCACGCATCCTGCACGGCATCAGTCTAATTATAGAAGACCTGAGCAAAGAAGAGTATGTAAAAAAGCACGAAAGAGAACATTCAGGAGACAGAGAAGTAATTATAATCTAAAACCACAGGGCTATCAGGGTCTTACAGCACTGTTTGCTAAAGGCCACACCACAGTATTGTACAAGCAGAATAAAAAGGTTGTAATGTAAAAGAGTAGTGTTTTTGTGTGTGAAAATGAGAGCAAAAGAAAAAGGAAGAGAAAGTAGAAACAGTAGATTAGTGAATAAAGTCAAATGCTAATAGATTACCAACTGAGAGGCTGTCAATCACAATGGATAAAATAACAGGGGGATATAAATGTAATCAAACTGACAAATGCTCTACACGTATCTCTAACATGCACACACTCAAATTAAGAGTAGTTCCTCATTGAAAATGCATTTCAAAAAGATCTTTCAAAAATGTCACTACTAATTGTGATGAAAACTTCTGTGCAGCAATGCAGAGCCAATGCTCGGGAAATGATGGAAGCTGGATCGTCTTTAGTCAAACACTGATATTTATTGAGAGAGAATATAGCCGGAGAGTTCACAAGGTAAATTCACACTTTCATGCGAGCAACCAAATCAACTCTGAAGACAAAGGACGACAGAAACACAGATCTATACATAAAAAGAGGAGGGACCTACATTCCCGCCTTTCCCCTAATCATTACCAGACATCGGAACAAAGGCACCTTTGTATTGCAACTCCTCATGTGCCCAAACCCCTCACCCACAGGAAGGCAGAGGACCTCTTGACCTGTGTCCTCCTGAAGTTACACGCAGGATCACATGCAACTCAACAAAAGCACACGTCTGTTAAGCAACAGTTTATAAGAAAGACTGAGAACCTCTAAACACACAGATCGGATTAAAATATTCTCTGACACTAATGCACAGTGCACTGAAATGCACTGCAAATACACCGTTTCGACGTGTTCATTTTAGATATACGCTTAAAACACGCAAATGCTTCACTTGATAAAATGCCGTAAAAAAAAATTCAGACAGGCAGTACCTGTAAGGAACCATGCCAAGCCATAACCTCAACAGTATTGATTAGTTAGTCCTATCCATACTTTAACAAGTCCGACTAGATTCCTTTCACTCATAGTGGTCACTGCAGAGACAGCTATTCAAAGCCATGTTCTTGTATGTGAATGGGTTCTGATTGTATAGTTACACATCATCCACCACAGTGGACACTAGTGTATCACCCTATACAATGACTATCGCTTGTAAGTGCGACACAGTTTTATCAAGGGCCACAGACGCTAGAAATGCTCAACAGCTCAGGAAAATATGTCAATCCGTCCGTCAGAGATCTTTGCCTAGTAAATATAACCAGGGAAGATTAAGTAACATCTACTGTAAGGAGTGTTGTAATTGTGAAAATGTGAAAAAGTATAGATTTTATGTTGGAGGCAATTCTGATGTATCACCGATCCACTAAATGGACATCATAGTGGATACATTTTAACTACAATTTACACTATTACTGCATCTTTGTTGATTTGGATATTATTATCTGCATTGACTTTTGTTGGCTGAAAATCAATTGATTGTTTGATTAGGATGTGAATTGCAGTATTTGTAACAAAACCTATATTCTGTGCAAGATCAGGTCCAGAATGAGAGTAATTGTTAGGCTAGAACATTTTAATTGAATTGAAAAATAAATTACAATTAAAATGTATTTAGAATAAATAGAATATTATCTCACTCAAATAGGAAGTGTTTGCAGTGCTGAACATTAACCATAGAAAAACAAGGAGATTTGAAGGCAGACAGCAGGAAGAGAAACACAACTGACACTACTGAGTGTGTATATTCACCCAGGCAAATCCACACAGGTCAAATGTTAGTCTGGCCCCGGTCTGCCCTCCTCAAACTGTACCGATAATGACAAGACTGTGGAGGGAAGCACTGCCCTTAAATAAACCCATTTGTCTGGCACACTGACTTACCTCACAAAAGCAGTGCAAGTGACCTACCATGACATAATTGATGCAATTATAATTCATGACAGTTAAATGTATTTATGGATGAATTTCCATCCGATTCCTATCTGCCTGACTGTGCTTGCAGGGAAGTACAACAAACGTCATATTGGATCTGAAGCAGTAACTGGATGGATGCTACTTTTAGTATATTTCACTGTGAGTATGGGTATGAATGTGTTTGTCTATGACCATGTGTCTGCTGTCGGCAATGATTCTATTCTTGATCAACAGCCCCATCCCTTTGGCCTCCAGTCCTGGGCTCTGTTCCAGACCTGCTTCCACCTCCTCTGCACTGGCTGTCAGCAGCTAGATATACACCCCATCAAGCCAGAAACACACACATACACACACACTTAAACAAAATAGTGACCATGAAGTTATTACACACCATTTCGTCATGTGCGAAAATAACAAGTTCCATAACTGTCTGCATCAAGTACTGAAACATATGTTTTAAATGTATATTTGTGTCCATCAAATGCCTGACGATGAGGCCTTCCTTGACCAAACGTTAGAAGTGTTAAGACTATTTCATTGATTCCTTCTAGAGATCTGCGTCTGAATCAAACAGTTAACAGTTTGACGACGTTCATAACAAAAGCTTGGTTATTCTTCCATAAGTGTTTCATGAGAAAATAGAAGACAAGATCATATTTAAGACTGTAATAATGAGCGCACCTGAGGGAAAACAGTTCATAGCTATGCTAAAAGTGCTAAGTGCTGAAGCTCTTTTTATGTCAATGTATCATCACGGTAATGTTACACTTGAAAAACAGATTGTTTTACCATGTTCAATATTCTAAATGCATAAAGATAGTTTCGTACCACTACAAATGCATGAATAAACACACTCATAAAGCAGTGCATAAACATATGGCTTATAACTTCTTGATTTTATTAATGATATGATCCAGAAGCTTAATCAACAGCTGTTCTATACTATACATTAAGCGTAATGCTCTAGCAATTTGATTGACATTAGTGGAGAATATTGGACTACAGGATTTTGGGTCAATATATAGATATATTCTTCCTCACACACTTACTGTATGTGAACATGCAATACACACAGATACACACAGCTCCTAAGATAGCAGGCCGACAGGGTTGTTAAAAATTCATGACAGGGCTTTGACGAGGCTCCTCTCCCCTCTGGGAGATATGGGGGAGGGTGGGGAGGGTTGTGTGAGGAAAGATACCTAATTAACCTTCTCTTTTTTCTCCCTTTTCCTCTTTATCCCTTTCTATCTCTCTCTTTGTCAAACATGTTACTTCCTAAAGAAAGCAACACCAGAATCAAATACGTACTAAGCTTCAGAGCTTTGATTTGATGAGGCCGCTCCCTGACAGCTTTCCTCTCAAACTGGCATAACAGTTCATTACGGAGGCCTTGCATGTTGCCTCTCTGCCAATTGATCAGAAACCAGCATTAATCAGTCAAAACATCCAAATGTAACACTACAACGGTTTATTTAATGGCAGTGGAAAACACACTTGCCGTAGAGTGCTTGATCTTACCGCTCATAAGTATCCCTCTCTGTTATTGTAGCAGAAAGCTTACACATCTTCCGGCGCAGACTGAAAACTCATCTCTTTCGACTCCACTTCGAGCAATAAAATGACTAATAAAGCACTTATATACTAATAAAGGACTGGCTTATCTAAAGCCAGTTGAGTAGCACTTGAAATGTTTTGGCTCTATGAAACCTGATGTACTTATATGATTCTGTTTTCTTCCAGTTTGTATCTTCTTGGTCGAATTGTAAATCGCTTTGGATTAAAGCGTCAGCTCAATGCAATGTAATGTAATGTAAAGATATCCCAGCTCCACATCATAATTAGTCTACTCTGTCACTGGATGACCACTGGAGTCCCTATGAGAGCCACAGCTCCCCTTCAGCCTTAATGAGGGGGGGGGGGGGGGGGAGGGTGAATACGAAGAGACTGGGAATTGGTTCTGTGGACGTGGGGAAGTGGAGTGGTTTTGGAATGAGGTGCTTCAGTGAGAAAAACGAGAAAAGAGGAATTCATGATAATGAAATCTAATACTACGAGGCACAAAATGTCTGCAGGCAGCATTGCTGATACATGTTGGCTAGCTTTATCTTAGTCTTAGTTGAACATGAGAACAGCCTAATGACAACCGCAACTGTTGGGCCTATATTCCAACTGACAAATAAGGCCATATCTGTATCATAATACTTCTAATGTAATGCACCATCTATTGTTCATGTACATTGATATTTGAGAACATTACACTGCAGCCATAAAGAGCACATAAACATTCAGAGCTGGCCTGAGTGTTGGATTGCATTGGACTAGCCCCATAGAGAGATATTCTGCCCTGCTCTCACCAGTCTTAGTTGTCATTCTGCCAGGGCAGCCCAGCAGCCCACCGTGCATTTAGTGAGAAAGCAGAGCACAGCTTAAAGGATAGACAGGGAAGATGAGACAGGCTCTGCTAAACCTCACAGAGCCTCCCAGACTCCCTGTGTGTGTGTGTGTGTGTGTGTGTGTGTGTGTGTGTGTGTGTGTGTGTGTGTGTGTGTGTGTGTGTGTGTGTGTGTGTGTGTGTTGTGTGTGTGTGTGTGTGTGTGTGTGTGTGTGTGTTGTGTGTGTGTGTGTGTGTGTGTGTGTTGTGTGTGTGTGTGTGTGTGTGTGTGTGTGTGTGTGTGTGTGTGTGTCAAATTCTCCACACGCCTGAAATCAATGGGCCATTCAGAGCACACTGCCTTCTCTCCCAGACAACAAAGCAATACCCACAAGAGTAGTAACGGTCTAAAAGATCATTAACACCCACATCCAGTCTCATCGTTCCCATCCTTGTTTCTTACATGTCCGCAACATTTGAACGCTGGTTATCTTTTTCCCCATAATTAGTCCAAACTCAAAGGGATGACAACAAAGTAAAAGTGTGGG